TATCCTGCATATCAGATATCCTGCCTATCAGATGTTTACATTATGATTCATAACAGTAGCAAAATTACAGTTATGAAGTAGCAGTAAGTGGGGTCCCCACAACACGAGGAACTGTATTAAAGGGCCGCAGCATTAGGAAGGTTGAGAACCACTTCTTTGAACAAACCATTTAACCCCCTAATACCTCATTTGTTTCTCCTCAAAAATGAAAATAATAATTGTTCCTGTAGCATCATGTTTTTGTGATCCTCAGATAATAATACATATGAAGAGTTATGTGTGTAAGTTGGCACACAGTAGGGGGTCAATAAGGACTTCCTGGTATGAATGGACTATTTCAGGTGGGAATAAAGTAGAGTGGTTATAATTTCTATCTCCTACAGTCTCCTGTGTGGATGACTTTGGGTTTTGTTGGACTTTTTTTTTAAAATCATGTTTTGGATTTTTGTTTGTTTGTTATCAGTAAAGCCATAGAACAAAAGCGACTAAAGGGAAAAAATTTTTAAGAAAAAACTGAAGCTGAAACTTATTTTCAAAACAACATCAGATAAGAAGCTAAATTGGACTATAGAAACCACACACTGGTAGAAGAGTCTGCAGCAAGGTTGGCAGAGAGATTCATATTTAACAGAAGAATTCTTACCTGGTACTCCACTTGGCGGGTTAACTTGATACACGACAGGTGTCTGTGCCTTGGAAAACTGAAAGTATTATCACAAGTAAGCATTTCATTTGACTAGACATGACCACAAGAGCCACAAACTATTTTTCAGAAAGCAGGAGCGGAAAACAGGATGCATCTCCCCAGTCATTTCACACTTACTTCTTGTTAGCCTCATGCTAATCCCACAAAGCAGGGATGGTAGACATTATTATATTCGGCAGATGAGTTCAAGGGATTGGATGGAGGTCATACATCTCCCTACCCTGTGCCATACTGTGCAGATCTTGCAAGCCTGTTTCTACATATCTACCCACCACACCCAGGGACATATTTTGCCAGAAAGAAAGGTGGACAAGGTGCCATCCAGAATGTCAGTCTTTTAATTTCCTAATTATAATTAAATGTCTTTGAGTTAATTTTTAAGCTGGAAGGAATGTTGTTTACATTATTGTCAGCTCGCCATCCTATAAAATAACAAGTTGGATATACATGAGTAAAGATAGAAAAACAGAGGGTGCCTGGTTTTTTTTGGGGGGGGGATATTCAAGAAATGGAAAAGAACACTGTCCTTCAAGAAGGAGGCCATGGCTGTGACCATGTCTCAGTGAATAAGGCACTTGTTATACAAGCATAAGAGCCCGAGTTTGAATCCCCACAACCCACGTAAAGTCAGATACATCTATTATCCTGGCACTCCTAGGGTGATGTGGGAGGTGGAGACAAAAGACATTTCTTGAAGTCAATGGGAAAACAACAGAGACCCTGACTTAACCAAGGTAGAAAGGCAAAGACAGACTGAGAGAAACCCAAGATTCTCCTTGGCTTCCACATGTTCGCTAAGGCCACATGTGATCACACACACACACACACACACACACACACACACACACACACACACGGTAAACACCATTTATGGAAGAAGTGGGAAAATGCTGAAGCCTAGTCATGGAATCCCAAATCAACTTACAATGTCCCTTTCTTAAAACACAACACCCATTAGTTCCAGGCTTCACCAAAAGGGACATTGCCTGATGCCACTGCACTTGCTTCTCCTGCCTAGCCTGAAATGCGGGAGACATTTGTACTCCTGTCAGTGCATCAGCAGCCCATCCATGGTTGACGGATATACTACCGAGAAAGAAAGGCAGGATGAGATCACTCAGGAAGTCCATCCCACCTACAGACATCTAGGGTAGGCTAAGAGTAGAGCATGCGCCACTGGGACATCATACCAGGCTACGTGAGGAAATGGAGATATACACAGAATGGGCCGGACTTGCCAGGCCAAGGTTTGACCCGTGAGCTAATGTTTCACCCAGGAAGAGACTTAGCAACCACTTCTCCGACTAGATGCCTAGACTGCTTCCTTTTTAAGCAACTACAGCGGTTCACATTTATAAAACAAACTACAGCACACTGTTTTGTTTGGGCTGCATCCAGCTCCCCCGGAGTCCAAATTCCCAGGGAGACTATTACCAGAGAACAGCCATGGTTAATCAACTGCCCTAATCAGGCATTGGGAATGAAAAGGCTTTTCAACCAAGCCCACGGTGGCCTGTTGAGTGTGGAGTTTATGTATTGATCCACACAGCAGCACAGTCAGCCATCAAGGCCATTTTCCTCATTCTCTACAGGAAAGGGTTAGAAACTAGTTCACAGAAAATATGCACAGTCAGGGGGTCCAGATAAGACTACTGTGACTTTTCAGATTAAGAACTGGCTGTGATCTCAACAGAAGATAAAGATGAATGCAGTTCCACACATGACGCCAAACATTCAGTCCCAGCTCTGGCCTCCAACCCAGTGACTGCACTCCATGTTTCATCTCCCACGGGGAGGTCTTTCCTTCCAAAGTGACTTCCATTGGAATTTTAAAAAAGTTGTTATTGCCCTCTCTCATGCTCATTAAAAACGAAGGCAGATGGAGCAGTCAACTTCAAAGCAAATACGGAAGCATACCTCTAGGTTTCCAGCTTGAAATATAAGATCTACTGTGCCATCTGTCATCCTTTGAGAAGTTAGTGGGGATATATAGACTCATTTATTGCTTCCTCCCAACTCCTCAGAGAGCACTGGGGTATACTTAGGGTTAAACCACAATAAAAGTTTTCACTCATGATTCCTTCTGTATTCATAAAACATAAAATAGTACTGTTTCTAAGAGAAACCGACTTCTGGTCACCCACCATGCTGGAGACAGAACAGTGAAAAATTAATGAGCTTCCAAAGCAGGCTTCCTACACGCTGATCCTTGAGCCCAGTGAGGTCAGCAACAGCAAGATGGGAAGGTAGGTGGGCCAGAGAGGGATGGTAAAAACAGCAGATTAGAATGAGAAGTCACAGCCGCCAGCTGCCTGATAAACCTTCTGTGAGTCCTTCAGACTTGTCAGTGCCCGCAGCAGGCTCTTTGGAGTGGGCTGGCAAGATGGAATTAATTTTTAATACCCATGGTTCCCTAAGTCCCAGTCCCAAAGCAGAAAGGCACATTGCATTTTACTTCACTCAAGTGCCTCTCATTAACTGCATCCCCTGGTGCTAGTTCATCAACTCACCACGTTAGTAGACCACTGCTGGACTTGTGGGGCTTTTTTAATGTGCAATTTCAGGAAGAGTGTCTCTCCCACCCCTGTCCTTACTGATCTTTATAATAAGTAGGAAAAGGACTTCCTGAGGTGAAGGGAGCTTGGTGATTCAGGAGTGCTCAGACACTTCTCTCTGATGGTCCCTGAGCCAGGGTAGGGATGGTGATATGGTTCCTAACAAGAAAAAATGCTGTGGCTTTGTTTCTTCTTTTTGCAACATGCTTACAGAGACAACGTTTCAGACAATAACATTCTCTTGGGCTGAGGATCACATTGTTAATTGGGATTGGACAACAAATTCCAAATTTCTAAAGGTTAGCGTCTATATAATAATATTGGAATTGAGTTTAAAGCAGCAGTGTCTTAGCTCTAAAGCAGCGTGAGTTAAGGACTCGGTTCTGTTCTCTAAGGCTCTTAAACAAAGGGCTTTCCCACCAGGAGCACTGCTGGAGCACCTTTCACAAGAGCCTGCTAAAAGAGTTTCCCCGTTTACGGGTCATTTTCCCACAAAGCTAAATGGCTCTTCGGCTGGACCAAACAGAGAAGGAAGTCTAGTGTGGGAATCAAGGGTCTAAATTAAAGAAGACCGGACACCGGCCTGAAGGAAACGGCTCTCACCTTCTTCATCTGTCTGACTTGGAAGGAGAATTTGAGCAGCAAAGGAGCTCTCAGACTAGTGTCAGGAAGAGCAGCAAAAGGTACCACGTAGCAGGGGGCAGGGAGACTGGCCCCCCAAAGGACCTGGGACCCCTGAGTCCCTTCAATATCCTAACACTCAGAATCAGCTGAAAACGTAACACTCGTCCAAAACACTGATGTGTGTGGCTCCTCTGTGACCTTCAGGTTCAATGTGAATTCACAGTCACCCGACGGGTCAAATCCTGGTTCTGCCACTTACTGCCTGGGTAATGTAGCAAGCATAAGAGACAGCCCCATCATAAATTGGGAGCACTGTAGTACACAATATACATGAGGCACTCAGCTAGAACCTGAGTCAGTGTTTATTTTCATAGCGTGAGGGAAACCCTAGCATTCTCTCCATATCGCTTCTTCCCTAGTAAAGCACACATGCCGGTTGATTTATAACTTGTTCTTGGTAACACACGTACTATATGACCGGTCAAATACACATTCCTCCATCCTCAGAACCCACCTTGAAAGTACAGCCGTCTAGTGACCCTGGACATGGGCCGCCGAGCACTTGCTCTCCAGAACGTATCTCCAGAGAGTACAGACCTGCATGAGCTTCAGACAGCAGAGATCTGGGGACAGAAAATGAAATCTTTATAAATAAAAAGCCAGGAGTCCCCACCTGACTGCTGTATGTTTCCTATCTGTGTTTGTAAGGTGGAGTTGAGGGGATATCTCTGTATTTCACTTTTCACCACCTAGATCTACTGCTCACTAAACCTCCACTTGGGCTCAGTCCTCACCAAGAGAAACTGTATTTCTTCTTGTTGTTGAAAGTCCTTTGTACTTCATTTAAGAACTTAATAACTCAGAATTATGGGCTCATTGGACTTTAAGAGTACAAGACAAGCACTTCAAATTAGCAGTTATGAATATGTTCTAAGATCTTAAAGGGGATATGAGTAACTCTCAATGAAGTCTATGAAAACACAAAGAAACAGTGGAACGAGGTAACGAAAACAGTTCAAGACATGAAAGTAGAAAGAATATCACTAAAGACAACCCAAACTGAAAAACTGGAAATAAAAGTTAGGAAGTCAAACAAAAAATTCAGAGGTAAACCCCATCAACAGAGTCCAAGACATAGAAAAAAGAACCTTAGGCATTGAAGACAAGACAGAAAAAATGGATATCTCAGACAAACAGAATGTTAAATCTAAAAATATCCAGGAAATCTGGGACACCATCAAAAGACTAAATCTATAAATAATGGAAATAGAGTATGGAGAAGAAACACAGGTCAAAGGCACAGAAAATAGTTTAAACAAAATCATAGAAGAAAAGTTCCCCAAACTAAAGCAAGAAGTGCCTATCAAGGTACAAGAAACAAACAGAACACCAAGTAGACTGAACCAGAAAAGAAATTCCTCACAACACAGAATAATAAAAACATTAAACATACAGAACAGAGTAAGGACATAAGCTGCAAAGGAAAAAGACCAAGTCACATATTAAGACAGAACCACCAGAAAAATGGTAGTTTGTGACAGCCATGGGAGGCCTAGCCCTTTCTGAACAGAAACTAGGAGGAGTGGGTAGGGGGTAAGATGGAGGGAGAGAATGGGAGGAGTGGAGGAAGGGGAAACGGTGGTCAGGATATAAAATAAATGAACAATTTAATAAATAATAACAATAAAATAATAATACCTGACTTCTCAATGGAGACTCTGAAAGCCAGAAGAGCCTGGACGAATATTCAGCAGACTCTTAGAGATGACAGCTACCAGCCCAGACTACTGTACCCAGTAAGACTATCAATCACAATAGATGGAGGAAGACAAACACTCAACACTAAAACAAAATATTCAGTCCAGCCCTACAGAAGTTACTAGAAGGAAAATACCAGTCTGAAGAGGTTAACCACACCAAAGAAAATACACAAAATAAGTAATCCCATAACAGTAAATCAAAAAATAGGAGGAAACACATACTATATCAACAAAGAAATCAAATAAACACTGCTCATCATTAACTCTCAATATTAATGGTCTCGATTCCCAAATGAAAAGACACAGACTAATAGACTGGATTAGAAAACAGAATCCATCTTTCTGCTGCATTAAAGAAATATACTTTAATCATAAAGATAGATATCACCTCAGGGTAAAAAAAAATGGGAAAAATAGTCTAAGTAAATGAACCCAAGAAGAAAGCAGGTATAGCCAATTTAATATTTGACAAAGTAGACGTCAAACCAAAACTAGGTAGAACAGATAGGGAAGGATACTACTACATACTTGCCAAAGGAAAAATTCATCAAGAGGATATTGCAACTCTAAATATTTATGCACCAAACGTTGATGGCATCCAAGTTTACATAAGAAACACTACTACAGCTAAAATCACATATTGATCCTCATACAGTGATAGGGGATGACTTCAATTCCTCACTCTCATCAATAGACAAGTCAACCAGACAAAAACTAAACAGAGAAATGCTAGAGTTAAACAACGTTGTAAATCAAATGTACCTGGCAGATATTTACAGAACATGTCAAGCAAAAGAATAAATACACTTTCTTTTCAGCAATTCATGGAACTTTCTCCAGTATTGACCACATACTTGCATATTTAGCTCATTCTGAGGTCTTTAGAAAGATTGTAAGAGCCAGAGGGTCAGACAGTCTACTGTGGGATTGTATCTCCTAGGAGTGTCAGAGGTTACACCCATAAAGTCTCACCAACATGACTACCCAGATGGGAGCTGAGCAAGGACAATAAGTATGCCAAAGTGAATGGGGGGAAAGCCCACAAAGCTTCAGCCCTACATGAAGAACTACAGGCACCTGAAGAAAACCAAGAACAGGAAAGGTGGTCTTCCCCAGGGAAGAGCATACCAATTGGTTGTCTAGTGCCAAATGGTCAGCACTGAAAATGTACATATGCATGCATTATACACACCGAGCAGGTAATATTTAGGGATATATATGTATACATATATATGGATATAACAATAATCAATGGGGAGGGAGGTCACAAATTTGAAAGAGAGCAAGGTGGAATATGGGTGGGGGGGTTGGAGGGAGGAAAGGGAAGGGGGAATGATGTGATTACATTATAATCTCAAAAATAAAATAGCAAAGAAAAAATTAAAATTTTACAAAAGAAAGAACATTGACAGGTGATTGCTTTTGCTTGTGATAGTGTTAATTTTTGTTTTCTTTCATTTGTCCTTTCTGCCATAGACAGAACTTTGTTTCTGTTTTCTACTCCGAGAGAGATTAAAGGAAAAGAATTTTGAAAGCATGCAAGCATATTCACGAAGAGTGTTTTAAAGCCACGCCTGATCACTGTAGGCACTGCAAGAGTTGTCTAACGTATCACCCAAAGCTACTGAGAAAGGAAAGCTCCTTCATCCTGCCAGGTTTTGTTTTCCAGACTTGTGTACCTGGTCTGGCAAGTCACCACAGGCAAATCCATGAAGACAGGAGAGACGTCACAGGGGATCCTGGGCAAGGCAGGAACTGCCACATTCACCAGGTCTATCTCCAGCTGAGAGCCATTGTTGCGGTAAAGAACACTTTTCTCCAAACCTAAACTCAAGGAGAAATCCCAGATGTAGGAAACATACAGGGCAATACAAACATTGGCCACAGGAGGGCAATGTAAGACATTGTGTTTGCCAGAGGATAACACTAATACTCATTTCCAAAGGCAGTTAGTTAACGCTGCTTTACAAACGTTCTCATATTTATGAGCCTACAAAAAATTTTCTCCTTTCACATCTGCCTACCCCCTAGGAAAGAGTTTTCCAACCTTTCAAGTTGCTTTGTGCCATAGGGGAAATGGGTAGAGTAAGGCATGGCTTAGGGGCCTCCTAACATGGAATCATATGTAAGGGCAACAGCCAGGATAACACTTAATACTATGCTGACACTTCCATGTCAGCCCATCATCTTCCCAAGCATCCCACCACGAGGATACTGACACAAGAGTGACCTCTGCGGTGACACTGGCCAGTCAGCATCTGCAAAGATGGAATTGGGTCAATCAGTTCATCCCATTCGGGCCGTTCTTTAGAGCTGTTCTTAGACAAGGAGGCAAGGATTCACACTCCTTTAGACTTTGGATTAGTAAATCCAACACAATTAGGGAAGGCCACACCTACCTTCAAAAACAACTGTGATCCACGTTCCCCCTGAGAGGCTACCTTCTGCAGGTTCAACCTGGAAACTCAGGTAGGGATCTGTCAATAAAGGAAAACACTGGTTTTGAAGGTTATGTAGCACCTCCAATATCTTAAAACAGACTTTGGCATGTATGTGTCATCCAGGGGCTGGATGAAACTTTGATCACCAGGTCCTATTACCAGAGTTTCTGGTTCCGGATGTGCACTTGTATCCATGCATTGCTGGCCCAGAAAACATGGCTTTCGAGTTCTACTTTAAGGAAAATGTATCACTCTCATTTTATCAATCCAGAACCCCAGTGTGCATCAGGACAATCCCGAATTTCTGCTTCCCTTAGAAATAGTCTCAGAGACATGCTTGGTTCTTAGCTGGACTCACTTTCCCTCCCTGCTCTCTTCTGCTCTCTATTCAGATGGCCACATTTCAATATAAAGTTCACTACTTAGACTCCTACTTCCTGGAAGGGGAAAACTTCTTGGAGATGTGCCTGCTTCCTTCTCCTTTGTCTACTTTTCCTTTCTGAGCCCTGTTGAACACATGATCAGCATGACTCCCCAGATGCATCCAAGACTTCCCTGATTTTTGCCTTGAATGATCACTGAGGGACTAAAGACAGAATTCCTTTAAAATAAAAAAGGAAAGGCGTGTGAACTTGAAATGCTACACTAAATGAGGCTTAATCTTTGAGGATATTCACAGACATGCCATGGTCCAGGCAAAGCCGCTTCAAGGAGGCTAGCAAAAATCACTCGGTACCTCCAGATGACAATAAGCAAACAAAGAGTTGTGTGTTATCTAAAGAAAACGCCTTCATTTCCACGTCAGAAAAATTCCAGTGTAAACTGGGCCTTTCCTGTAGACTAGCCCAGGGCATTACGTACAACAATGCTTTGGTGTCTCACTACACCTAAGAATGGTGGAAACTAATTCATATCAAGATCACAACATGGCAACCCCAACCAGATCCCACCATCCTTAGATCCCCAGAAATGACAAGATAATTTTATCCAAAGAAGACAAAAATAAAATACAGAGGATTACCAAATTCACTGAGAAGGTGGAAGCATGATTAGAAAAAAATAAGAAGGTGATTTTAATGGAAGCAGCCATTAATCACTAAGACACAATGCCTTAGGGAAGATATAACAATAAAATCTAATAAGAATTACATCTACTAGCCAAAGAAGAGATTATAGAAGAAGTTATGTTATTATTAAAGTATTTGAATTGTTACAGCAACCCCCACTGGCCATTAAAAGTTAAAATATCTATTCATAACAATTTAACAAATAACCCCAGATACTCATCAGGAAAAAAAAACAACAACAACTATTATTTCAGATCCCGAAGCAGACACTTCAATACTTCCTTCTAAAATCATATTTTAACTCATATTTTAAGTGGGCAAGTAAAAATTGTATGTCTACAGTATATAAGCAAGGCGATATTTTCACTATTAATAGTGGATCTCAAGGTGACCTAGTAACCTGATGTGTGATTTGTTCACGTGCTTTCTACTTACCTGCTAGAAGTAATACTTCTGTACTCAGCAGAGCAATCAGCCAGGCAGGCATGACATCCAGCTAGCTCAGCCGTCTTAAGATGGCTCTGATATTAAAAGCATTTTTTGGTGTTGATTGGTGCAATGTGCCTTTTGAGCCTTATAAAACATAAAGTTAAAAAAAAGTCTATATACTATCAATGAGCTATATTAAAATAGAAAATAAAGAGACGGGATAAATGTAGCACTAGCCCAACAAGTGTAGTTCTCAACCATCCAATATTTTTTTTTCACAGTAGATGGAGACCATTACAGAAAGCCATGAGCAGTTAAAATGTAGGGTACAACTGACTGTGAATGACCAGCTCAAATTGATATACTACAACACAACCCCTACACCTAACCCTCTAAGAATGGGGGAAAGGAAGAAAGATTGTAAGAGCCAGAGGACCAGAAAGTCTGCTCCAAGATAGCATCTTGTAGATATGACAGGGAAGCCACACTCAGGAAATCTCAACAATATGGCTGCTTAAGCAAGTCCTGAGTAATGACAACACCAGTTGACATGCCAACGTGGATAAGGAAAATCACATGGGGTCACACACACACACACACACACACACACACACACACACACACACACACAACAATAATAAGGGGCTGTGAATTTAAAAGAGGGTAGGAGAGGTTAGAGAGAGTCTGGTGATGTAATTGTATTTAAAATAATTAAATAAGTAAAGAATGTAGTACTAGCATCGTTAGAGGCACCCACAATCTCCCTAAGCTCGGGAGAGAGTGAGTACGTAAAAAAATTACAGAAAATCATCCTTATCATGTTTCAATAGCTTATTTAATCCACGTTTAAATTGGGTGAAGAGCGACACCATTCAAATAAATGAATCCTAGAAACAGCGTCTAGTCATCAGATGACTAGTGACCAGGCAGGGGTCCATGTTGTTTTCTCATACCCCAAAACCCCTGCTTCCTCTCCCATGACTGTCAGAATTGAATCTTGCATGATAGCCAGGCTGTATTTCTTGTTAGCAGTCCGGCAAGGCTTCCATCTGTCAGCCTCTGCTCTGACAGCTAACCCTCCATGGTTTTATGAGCTCCTGGCCTCATTCTCCAGCAAATCTTTCTTCAGGAGGTCCCCTCAAACCCTCAAACCTCCAGCTCACATCCTGGGAGTCTGAGCCAGACACTGTCTGTGTACGGCCATGCATGTCTTGCCTCTAGAGGGCACTGTGAAGATATCCATCCACCCGCCACCCATTTCCATACGGGTTTCAGTGTGAGGGCCTCATATAGCACTCAAAGATTTTTAATTCATTCATACATTTTTAAATACCCCACCTCTGATTTTACAGATATGAAAGATGTGTTTTTGTCTCCATGGCAAAGAAAACAGAATCCACACAGCCTTGGCTGAGCCCTCTTACGCTGCTCTCGGAAGACTGAGGAACTGCTCTCCAGCACCAACCAGAAGGGAATAGACAAATAATCCTAAAACACTGGCTTGGAGGCTCTATGAAAGTTTGAAAACTAAAAGGAGTAAACCCAGGTTATTACATATACATTAATGCAAATTTCTAAGATAACACTCGATGTGCTAGTAGTTACACCATTTCAGGAAGCACAGAACCCCCAAATAGTCTCAGAACAAGACTGCCTCCCCTGCCCCCAAATGCGTTGAATTTATCATACAGGTACGTCCTGATCAAGCTAACTCAAAATAAACAAAAACTTACATTTAGTCCAGCACTGGGAAGGTTTGCTACATCCCCGATGGATGCTGACCACTGCACTGGAAGCTGGGAAAATAAAGAGTCTATGTACCCGTCCTTAGTCATGGAGTCTCCTCGGGTATGGAAGGGGTGTCCACATTACCAGGTGTTCTTTCACACTGCAAAGCTTCCTACATTCTTCAGGGTATTTGTAATGTGTAATTGTATTCAATTTACAAACATCTAGTTTCCGGTAATATATACTACGTCAGAACGACACTAAGGAGGGTTTGCTGCCTAGCCCAAAAGCACCAGATCTGGCATGCAGTCCAATCCAGGCCCATTATTTTGTACCATTTCATCTTAATGCCTACTGCCAAGCTTAGGACAATGGAAATAAGAACCCCCACACTGGGGTTCATTAAACTGTAAATTCACAACCACTTATTTTCCTCCAAAAATAAAACAGTCATATCAACAATAAATGTCATTTCTCCTTCCTAAGGATAAACTCAGTGTCTATTTCCTGTAAGCAGAATGTTTCAACCACAGAGCAGAGCACTGTGCATTCAATTCCGTCCTCTTCCTGTTCCTGTGTTCTTCCTCTCTGCCCCCTCTTCCCCTCATCCCTCATCTCGCAAGTCCCCCTCATCTGGGAGCCTGAAAGACAAAGTTTCCAAGTTCTTACCGTACACTTCCCACTTCCTTTTGCTGACTGCAACGAGGGCAGGAGATGCAGAGTTTAGAAAACAGGTCGTTCTCTGAATCAAACAGTACCTGGTTCTGTGCCTGCCTTGTGATTCAAAGGAGAAATCTTTCCTTTCCAAATGATGCCGTGTTATCTGGTTAGAACCCGGCCTGCAGCTAGCAGGCAGGTAGCTCCCTTCAGTTAGACTATAACTCGCCTAACTCGTTTCTGTTCTGGCCAAATGTTCACCAGAGTAAAAGTTCACAAATGACCATAGGACAAGTTTAATCATTAACATGAGCTACTTAGGGACCCAAAGAAGGGCCTTCTTACATTTTTCTCTGATTACTGTATGTGTCACAGACAAGAATTTCAAATAAAAGTCCACCCAGTGTGGAACAGGCACTCAGGGATCGAAAGAATGTGCCAGGAAGACAGCAGAGAGCCCAGAGGAAACATCTGAGCGGGATGGCATGCTCTGTGAGTGTTCTCGAGCTATTCCTGTATACTGTGCTGTAGGCTCTCAGTGATGTTTCCACCACAGGGGCATGGGCCTGAAGATGCAGAGGAACTTGGAGCTTCGTGAGCCCGGTTCAACTTTGCACTTTCTGTTGTTTCTCCTACCTTGCTTTCTTCACAAAGAGGTCCTTGATTTGCACCATCATTACCTAATCGCACTCAGCAATGAGTCTGGGTCACCGGCTTGTTGTCACTTGCTGTACCACAGCTTGGCAACCGCTGGAAAGCCAACAGATCTGGTGGGGCTGCAGCTAGTAAGGTAGAGATAAGGCCATGGGAAGGAGGCTGTAGATGTGAAATAGGAAAGTTAGCAGGAAAGAGGAGACACCGCCTGGTATCTGATATGAACTTTGACATCCTTCTGCTTGATGTCCTCCCTCTGGACCAACAAATCTACTCACTACCATTGCATACCTGGGAGGGTGGTCTGCACAGCTCATACCACCATACTTGATGTCTTATTGGTTTCACGAATAGGGCACAGCCAGAAGTTCAAAAGTGATCTATTTCCTACCAGGACTCTAATGTTATATGTACTCGAAGAGATAACTAAGTTTCCACATTGGCAATATACAGTTCACAGTCATCAAAACTTGAGTGCAGCTTGGTACATGAGTAGTGAATAGGCTAGTTCTGCCCAATAGTGTTTGACTTATGCAAGCCATTCCCAAACTATGCATACATCATGTGGGGGAAATTACTTTTTTCCC